GGAAATGTCTGAGACATTGACCGGATATCCAGTCGAACCTTTTGTCGGACATTGTGGCTGGGTTGGGGAAAGGTTGAAGCATCGAGATATCCCTTCTGTACTGACGGGTCTTATGGGCGATATCCCTTATTTTCGAGTGGGGTTAACTTGTACCCCTGTGCAGAGTATAAAAGATTGGAAGCAATAAGTTCTACTTCTAGATACGGACTAGTGTTGGGATTGGAGATCAGAACTCGTGGAAGATCGAGTCCCCGTTTGCTAATGCTTAACTTGATTACCTATGCTATGCTTAATTCTGCTACGTCATAGATCGCCTTTACTTTATTGTATAAATGCTTTTATGCAAAGATACGCATTCCTTGCTACTACCTAAATGCATAATTCTTGTTTACTATATTGGGTAAGTCCTGCGGAGTATACTCGAGTACTCAACCTGTGTGATCTTAAGTTTTGCAGGTACCGTAGCCTCTGTGCATGGATTCTTCTATGCTCCCGAACCTTCGTCGGATAAGGAGTGGTGAAGGATCACATGTCCCATAGATACATGGATATGGCACACCCGTGTATCTGTTATCATAAACTATGTTATGTTGAAAGACTTCCGCTAGACTTCGATGTAGACTGTAATGTGTGACCATGTGATGAACTAAGTGTGCGAACCAAGACTTGTAAACTTTAATGCTGTGAACTTATAATGTGATCTAAGCACTGTTGTGATGTATTCTCTCTTTCGAACTGATTTTAAAGAGGAGTTGCCATGTGCGCTCCTGGGACCTCGCAATGTTGATTTGCTTAAATTGAGGAGTCAAGTGGTTGACGCTGGATTTAGGTGAATTAATGCGATGGTCACCCACAGGACTGAAGTGGTTCGGACGATAAACAAAATTTGGTGCGTGCTTGCATGTGCTGGGTAAGACCTTTTTTTCTCTGGTGCGCGCTCTCCTTGCCACTTGCACACTAATATAATATATATTGCTATGTTCCTTTACTTTTCGTTTGCCTGCAGTCCATCCTGTTTTTATTTAGCTTCCTCACAGGTTGTAGCTTATGCCACTTGCACTCTAATATAATGAGGTTTGATAGGGTTCAGTTTCGTAGCCTATTTAGCTTTCTTCTTCCTCCTCTCGAAAAAAAAAAATGAACATATATATAGCTTCAGGGATGACAAAAAAATTAATCCATATTAATTCTTAGTAAGAATCAAAAAGTGCACACCTTATATTAGTATACGAGGCATGATTTCAGTTTGTCTTTTTAGTTTATAGGCCCATTTTTATGTTGCGAACGACATATTCTCAGGAAACATCTAACGTCTATTTCTTACTAAATTCAGGTTCCAGGCAACTCAATATGCCATCTTTGGTTATGTCAGCCTGTGACTGCCCACGACTTCAGGTATTTCAATTTTTGTTGTTTTGCTGACTATGTGCCTCCTATCTTCACGTCGTTTCAATGGGGCTGCAATTTCCTTTTACAGCAGGCTCCACCATATTCAGCATCACAGCTCGTACTCCTTCCAAGGAGTCTACAAAAATTTACCTATCACATTTTGTTTGCTTCACAGGCTGTTCCTATTTCTCAAAGGACAAATATGAACAACTATTTACTACTGAGAGTAGCAAATCGAGTTGAAGTAATCCAAAAATAAAACCTCATTTTTTTCCTTTGTTGGTTTGGATTTTCCTCACCTCAATTTCTTCGGGTTGTATGTACTGCAGGGAGCTACAACCACTTCAAATTTTTCCAATCAATTTATCTATTTGATTTTCTGATCTAAATTTTCTTAAGTCAACCAAACAATTCACTAAAAATGTGTAACCTGTCTCTTCTCTATGCACTCTGTAATCAGTTTTTATTTTCCTTGTCATATATAAACTGAATCCAGTTATATCTGCTTTTTGTAGAATCTAAACAATCCATGGACAAGATCACTGAGTGCAGAGTAATTTTTTGCAGAATGTCATGATTAGAGATAAAGATAACGCACTCGACATCCATAGTTCATTCCAACAGAATGGGATTGGCGATCATGCAGGTAGATTCCATTTCCTTCAATGATTTAATGAGTGTTAGTTGCATAGTCTAAAAAGGACGAGTCAGTACCTCTGATGGGCTCTCCGAACTTGAAGTGTATATTAATATTCATATACTTCCATTTTTTTTTAATATCGGCTATAACCCCATTAGGCCTTTAAAGTCTATACTTCTCAGAAGTTGAAGCCTTCTTTTGACAAATAGAGTGGTTTCTAATTTTTCTGTACTGCTCTGTAGTGTATGTGAATTAAATCGCTATTGGTTCACAATAGTCCTGTTACTCATCTCTAGCAGTAAAAGGATGAGTCCAGATTGTCGCTGTAGTCGCCTTCGTGGCCGTTTGGCTCCACTTCGTGGGCTCCCTCATCCTCCAGCACAACCCCAATGTCTCTTCTGACTTCTATCCTTAAACCACCAACAGCCCCCCTCCGCTGTCAGATCAGCGACTCCATTTTGAGTTTTCTCTGAGTGGTGCGGCATATTTTAAAGTTCATGCAACTGCCAGACACCAATGATGTGGTGCTGTCATGTTGGTTGAGTTCTTCGTGTTGTGGTGTGCCCATTGCGACCAGGTAGCGCCTGCCTGGGATTAAACCATCGGGTATAGATCAAAATGGCGCAGCAACTTCGTCACACGGGGGAAAAAAAAGTCTGCACAGGCATATTCTTCCATTTCACACACTTATACTTCACGCTGTACAGTATGGAAAGATATAAGGTTGGCACATACAGTTGCGTAGTTGGAATTTAAATACTACCTCTTCTTTCAGTGAGTTTGCTACTTGGTTGAATTCAAACTTCGATTTCTGCTGACAACGTTTCAAATTCAATTTAATAGTGCTCTAATATTGATGCAAAAAAAAAGGCAGCATAAAAGTATATGAACATGAATGCAGCTTCCTATTTTTCCAAGTCCCTATCTGTTTTGCAGTTGAACATAATGCCTAATGGCTTCATGTGCATCATAGGTCCTTAGTTTTAAGCCTGGACAAATCCCAGCTACACAGTATCTGTTATTTCATATTAATGTATCATTGCTTGTGTTCCACATTTCCCGTATGGTAATCTCTGACATATTATTTATAAATGATTCCAAGGATGTCATCTGATCTTCTAATCCTGGGATTGGAGAAGAAGACCACCATGGTTGTCAGTGAAGGCCTCAATCCGCTTGCTGGTTATCCTCTACAGTTCATCAAGGCCATCTTCATCGCCTCAGGTAATTGTGATTTGCGCAGGTTATCAAACAGCCTCTGAGTTTTTTTTTTAAATAGAAACGATTTCAGGTTTATATCTAAAATCACCAAAAAAAAAAGTATCAGGTTTAACGGAATGGAATTTGGGGGTGCATCCTGCAGCTTGGGTTCCCTGTTTTTTTATTATGCCAATATGGTGACTACGACAAATGCAGGTAGCCCTTCTTTTGAACGATTCCACTTCCAACCTTATTTGATTATACCATGCATATATTTCTCTTACATGCCTGTTTGTTCATTATAAGATGCTGGCACGTAATATATGTATGGGACAATAGACCGCCTTCTTTTTCACAGGTGTGTTCATTGATGCTTTGATTTTTAGCTATGAAGTTGCAATATCTCAGGTTACCAACTGGCCATCAATTTTGGGGGCAAAGAACTGATATCTGAGGTCCTTATTTTGATTTCTTCTCTAAAATCTTACCCATATAGCTCTGCTTTTATTATATTATAATTGATAAACAGTGGTACCACCATATTAAAAATCTTGTATTCGAGGATCATACCTGCTATGCTCATCACTTATTAAGCTATTTACAACATCAATAGAATATATCAGGTTTAACTATTTTGGAGTGCAGTTCAGATAGTCTGTACAGATTCACAAAGCACAAAGTTTCCTCAGAAAGTGAAGATTGGAAATTTTGGAGTGAAGCTAACACATCTTTTTCGGCCGGATTTGCGTGCTCTTTTTACTGCAGAGGTTGGTACTGGGGAAGATCGCCTTATCTTTGATACAGGTCATAAGCTTGGTAGCAACACAGTCAGATTAGGTCACGGATTCTAATGGACCTGATCACCTGTTGCTATAAAGCTAAGAAGGGTCCCTGTCCACCCTAACAAAAGGTCCTAGTGTCAAAAAACATCTGTTCCTCACCGTGTTTTTACTGTATTAGGCAGCCTATCATAATTTCAGTTAACTAATCCGGAAAAAAACTTGTTCGTTTGTTCAACGTCCGAAAACTGTAAACGTGTTGCCTACACTGATATACTATGTATGAAACAGAATGTGCTCTGATCGGCTTTCCTACCTTATTACTCCATGGGCGTACCCAGTGTAGAGAGTCCGCTCTGTGCGGGGTCTGGGAAAGGGTGTTAGTGGTAAGCCTTACCTTTGCCTATGCAATGCGAGGAGACCGCGACTCGAACCCGGACCTTCCGGTCCCTTATTACTCCACGCATTCTCCATATTTGAAATTTCACGAACCACTGTACACACACCAATAACATGTCTTCCGAGTAGGGCCATTCTTTTCTTCAGGTATACAACTGCACATGCGCGCGATGGAGCGCGCCCTTCACTAGTAACGAGTACAAACGTGGCACCAGCTAGCCAAGCTGAGTGTAACGTTCAGTTGGATTTCACTTGTCGGTCAGGGATCAGATAGACCCAGAGATGAAATGGGGATAGGAAGCAAGGAGACAACGTGGGAGTTAAGACCGCGAAAGCGAAGCGTTCTTGTGAGAGGAGCCACAAGATGAAGGAAGGCCTCCGACTCCGAGAGGTACCCGTGAACAACAGCCAAGGGAATTTTCTCGCGTCGGACCCATGGCAATCAATCCCTGAAAATGGTGCCCGCGAGAGCTCCCCCCACACGACCATCTCTCGACCGCACGCTCAGCGCGAGATATAGCAGCCATGCGCCCATGCCCTGTACAGATGCAGTGCCAGGCGGGGTCGAGCGAGCCTATCAGCTAGAGCCGAGCATGGGCACATCCAGAGCACCCAAGGCCAAGCCAGATCACGCAGATGCCGACGATTCCGATGAGCTCGGCGTCTTTGCCGCCGAGCGCTACTTGTACGGAGACGACGCGCTGCTGTGGCCGTGCGAGCGCTCCTCGTCTTCGCTGTCGTCCGCGTTCAGGACGGGGACGCACGAGCACGACCGGTCCGCCCCGACGCCGACGGCCGTCACTAGCTCGTCGGAAGCAAGCTGGAACAGCCGCTCCACTCTGCTGCCCAATGAGCCGGCAGAGAAGTTGTGCGCTGTCGATGTCGCTGTCGCCGCCGCCACCCCGATCGTCGAAGCGAGGCCTTCGGATGTAGAAGGTCAGCGGACCGGCCGCAGGCCCTCTTCGTCGTCTAACCTGCGGCGATGGCTGCTCGGAGTGGCGGCGTGCGCTTGCGCCGGCGGAGCTTCCGAGGAGTCAGTGAGCGCCGACGAAATGGAAACGAGCGAGCGGTTTCCGGAAACAGAGATCCCGGAGGCCACCGCAGCGAGATCGAGTGTGACGCCTGCGAGTGGCAGATGGCTCCTCGAAGGCGAAGGCGACAAAACAACCCTTGCCGGAATGGATGGCCACCGCCGTGCCACCAACAAGGGTGAAGTGTCTACGCCCATCTTGCATCCCCAAGCAGCAGCCACCTCCGACTCCGACGATCGGCGGCGCATCAAATCATTGGAAATGTTCCGGCCGGTGCCGGTGGGCGACCGTGGGAGCGCGCTCGGTTCAGCGACGCAAAGCTCTGCTTTTACAATCGTCGCCGGAAATACGGCGCTGGGTGGTGACGCTCCGCGCACGGCCAGCGGCGGCGGAGGGAGCCCTGGCGAGGACGACGCGGCTCCGAGCGAGCTTGGGTGCGCGTACCCACCTAGCGAGGCCAGCGTTGTCTGGAGCGTGGTCACCGCAGACGGCGCGGCGTCCGGCAACTTCTCCAGCGCGGCGTCGGGGTGCTACTACCACTACTGCTTCAACGACGTCGACGAAGGTGCGATGCGGCGCGCCGCTGCCAGGAACACTCACAAGAGGAGAAGCGGAATCCCGAGCGGTAGCAGCCTGCTAATGTGCATGAGCGAGAAGGCAGTCGACGCTGTCGGGCCAGCTCGGTCCGTTCACCGGCAGGAGGTCCAACCGGCTGCCATGGCAACGCTGGGAGCATCTGGCGGCAGCCGGAACGGCCACGGAGTGTACAAACCCCAGGACGTGATTCGGCGCCGGTAGTCAGGTACAGGTAGTAGGTTGGATCCGGAGGCACCCGGCCGGTAGAGCACTTGAGCTGTGCTCTGTGGACAGGGCTGCCTGTAACTGTAAGGGCTAGATGTTTGATTTGGGCAAGTTCTTCGAGGCTTGTTTCTTATGAGGAAAAGAGAACAATCGTGTTCGACATAGTATATATTCTTTCTGTTGATGCAAAAGTGAATCTGCAAACACAAAGGGCTAATACCCAAATTGATATCTAAAGCGTGACAGTCGATTTGACCTATTAATCGACAAGGATGAAGATACGAGCACTTTGGTCCTGACAACAGCGATACGCCCGGAAGTCACGGCCAAGAGGTACTCACGCGGAACTCGAGAATCGCCGAAGGTTGCACTGAAACGATGCAACTCGCCGAATCAATGAGAACTCGTAAAAAGAAAAAATATGCAAATTGACAAAGTCGCCGAAAAGTAAGTAGATGCAAATAGGAGTAAAAATTGGTTTTTGATATTGATTTATCTATTACATTGCCCCTCAATCTATATTTATACCCTGATCTAAAGAGACAAAACCAAATACGACTAGGACACCAAGTCCATATCTAAGGAAACACGTGACTCTTACATGAATCATACTCTAACAAATATAGAAAAGGAAATCAACTCCTATCTATTTCCCTGTCCGCCTCGATTACGATGGAATTCTCACCGACCTCCTTTCCATCGGCATACTTCCTGTTTCATCGGCAGTAGTTTTCAAGCCTTCCTTCATCGGCATCGACACTAATATCTCCAACCTTATCGGCAACACCCGAGTCTAAATCAACCTTTCCATCGATCACCACCATTCATCGGCAACCATCTTTACAAGCTGATTTTCACGGCTGTCAGCGTATACAGTAACTCTCCTCCTGCCGATTAGCCCACTCTGATCATTTTGACACGTGCAAAAAACGGTGTCAACACATGCCCCCCAATTTCGGAGTATAAAACCATTAATGCTCCGAAATTTACTCCAGATAACGTTTGCCTTCGCCCAATTACCGTAACTCATCCTCCAAGCCAAAACTTGATCTGTTATCAAATCTAATCAAATCTAGTCCTGATTCACGCACCTCAGTAAATATCGCACAATTTCCAACCACTCTTGCCCTGATTATGGTTAAGATACCAAAACAATAATCCATCGGTAAGATCCTAACATAATAATGCCGCCATTTTCAGAATTAAAATATCCTGTACCGAGATCTCTTCCAAGTCATGATTACTTGCCATCAAATCATCTGTACAATCCCTTGATTATCGTGCGAACAGTTACCATATCCATCTGAACCACCTCGACCCACATGCGCACGGCATAGAGATAAGTCCAGAATACCCCTACTCCAAGCGGCTTATAAATAGATTTCTCCGGAACGCTCGTCTTCTACCCTCAGACTCCAACCTTTGGCATTCTCTCTTTCCGGCGGCGACTCCGACGAACAACTGCGCGACCTCAACCAACAAGAACTTTTCTCCAGCGTCAACCTCGAGTCTCTAGCTCGTGCCCCCATCTACCTCAAGATAATGGCAATCAACTTCGACGTCCCTGCGGTTCGTTCCACTTCCGTTACTTTTTACCTTGATTCCTCTGGTCTTGGCGAGTTTATACAGTTGGTAATTTTTTCTCTTTTTCTTTGTTCTTCGGATCCTCTAAACTTAGGAACTTCGCAACAAATTAGTTATTTCAACCGATCCGCCGCATTTCCAATGCCTAGGACCAATGGGCAACCCAGATCCAACTGATCTGATTAATGCAGAGGTTAACAGAATCCCTTTTAGAGCCCAAAATTTCTCTTTGAATTTATGGAAAGATACATTCCGGTCTTGGCCCAAAACCACCAAAGGGTGGAAAGATTGGTACTTGAGGGTCAACAGGTCGATGCAAGTACACTGGGCAGAACGGAAGCTAGACCAATGCATTAGGCTATCCATTGCCGATATGCAAAAGAACGAGTCAATGATGATTGCAGCTGCTTACTTCTGGTCAGACACAACAAATACTTTTATGTTTGGACATGGCCCAGCCACCCCCACACTTGCTGATGTCTACATGCTCACCGGCTTGGACATTTCAACTGCCGATGAAGGCTCCATCTATGGCAGAAAATCTGAACATAGGGTGAATACCCGCAACATCGGCGGTTGGACGGGATATATTTAAGAATGCCAGAGGACCGGGACAGTTAACCAGAGGAAACATGCCACATTCTTGAATATGTGGTTAGAAAAATTTATCTTCTGTGGTCGATCAGTAGGACCAACCAACGCCTTCCTCCCCGCGGCTGAACTCTTGGCCAATGGTGTAAGGTTTCCTCTTGGCCGATACCTTCTGAGCTCCACTTATCATCTTCTTCATCAAGTGTCTCAGAAACTTTTGCTTGGTGAACCCATCGGCAATTTAGGAGGCCCGTGGTGGTTTATCAACATGTGGCTGAATGCCCATATGCAAAAACGTCTGCAATGGGACTTCTTTGCCCAACAATTCCCACGAGAAATTACTGAAGACCACGTGCTTGGGGATGAGGAATCGGCAACACGCTCACCCCTCAATTTTGGTGAAGCCATAATTGTCCTCCCTGGAGCAGAGGCCAATGAAGACCAGATCGGCAGATTCTTCCAAAACTTCTACAATGGTCTTTCTCGTGATCATAGGGCCTGGGTACCTTATATTGACGAAGAAAACAGATTCCCCCTTCTCTTCAACTTTGCCGATGACACTCTGAATCAAGATAATGAACTCATGATGGCCATCATTACTCCCAGGGCAATCCCAGTAAACACATTCGGTAGCGGGAAAAACACCAATATCACGTATGAATTTTACAATCCATCGGCAAAGATCCCGTCAATTGGCTTTTGGGCAACCGCCAATCAAACTTTGTTTTGCCGATGTGATCAAACCTAGAGAAACAATCACCGCGAACAGATTGGAGCAGGTAGTGCTACTCTCCCCGATGCCGATACTACGATGTCGATATATCCATCTGGACGCCAACATCTTTCATCACCGAATCATATAAGCAATGGTGGCGAGAGTGGAGGGAACAACTATTTGCAATATCTGCTCACACATATCGGCACATGATCGACCCTGAATACACTATTCCCGATGATGCAGTAAGTTTCTTTTAACTCCCTTCTGCTTTTTTCTTTCATATATCGGTAACTAACTTTCTCGTGACAGGTTAACAACCCAGCACCATCTATGAGCAAAAGTGGGAAACCCTTCGATCTTTGGCCTGTTTCCCCGATATCACCGATCGGCTACAACGCCCCCACCTTAGCTGCTTTGACTCACCAGAAGACCCGTGCCAAGACCATCACTTCCAAGTCCAAATTGGCTACAACTAGGGCCACTCCATTGGTCAAGCACAACCTTGATCAAGGCATTCAAGGTAACAACCTCATTTATTTCTACTTATGCCGATCACAAAAGCAGATTAACATTAATCATCGGTGTAAGAGCATTGCTTTGGATCGTCATCGGCAATTCCTCCGACATCAAGCACCACTACCTCGACAAACCTTCGTGAGGTATTCCTTTGATTTTACATTTTATCTGTTAAATATCATACCTTACACTTGTTTTGCGCAAGAACAAATGGGTACATCGGCAAGCGTACCGGATGTTCAAGCTCCACAACCAACAAGTGCCGATGCCCCCCAACCAACCGCTGCTTGAGGCCCAAGCAAAGCGCAAAGCCTTAACAGATGCCGAGGCACGCCCAAAACGACGTAAGTCCATGCCGATCCCCACATCGCCCTAACGTCCATAAGCCGCCGAGAATCAATCGATGCAACCGAGCAAGCGGTTGATCCTCCCAGACAGACATACCATCGGTCATCATACCCCAAGAGCCAACCACCGATGAGGCCACAGAGGATATCCCATCGGCAAGCTCAAATTTAGATCCTCCACACAAAGATACTCCGGTCGCTTCTTCTAGCCAAGTACAGAAATTGCCTTGAAACAGTAAGTCGATTGACCTAGTCGATTTATAATATTCATACTTGTCCTTAATCGACCTCTTTTTTTTTTTTTTTTTTCGTGAACAAGACTCCCCAAATAGCCTATTTTCCTTTGCCATTGACGTTTCGACGATGATGGAGAGGAAACAAGTTCTTCCTTGCACCGGGAACAATATCGGTAGAAATTAAGTCCAAGTTGGAAGCTCTCCTGACTTGTTACAGCAGGATACCGCCTAACCGGTAGATGACTCGGACCCATAAAAGGCAATTTTCAAAACAATCCGTGGCTGTGTCCCCGCCGATGTTGAAGAAGCACTCTTCCCAAAGAAATTTCATTTTAGAAAGCCGCCAACTGCAATATCAACGGGCTGCTCAACGCGCCGCCGATAGAGCAAACTCGAGCTCAACTCAAAGAAGAGATGCTACACCAAAACAGATTGCGATGAGAAGCACAAGGGCATCGGCAACTTGCGGACTTCGGCGCCGAACTTAAGCGAAAATCTTAGATTTATCGGCAAAGAGGATGGCTCTATTGGCTGAATTGAAAGAAGTCGAGACAGCCTTAATTCATGCCCAACAAGAAGAAAGCCACTACCCGATGCCATCAAGGCCCTTCAAAGAAGAAAGAGACATCCAGCTCGCAAAGCCTTGGCCATGAAGAAAAAACTCAAGCTCGTGGAGGGTGTCACGATGAAGACATCAAAGAAATGAAGGAAGCCGACCAGATTACGCGCGCAAGCGATATTGGCTATCCAATCCTTGTTAAACTTGTAAATCTTGTCTATTGCATTGGCACTTTATGAGACATTGACATCCTTGTATAATTTTAGCCGATAGGACTGTTATCGGCACTTATACTTTCATGCATCCATCCAAATACTAGGGTAATATTTCTTTAAATATTTTCCATTTAATGCTCTGGGAAACACAACCCCTTCGAGGGTTTCTAGAATATATGCGTTACCAGGAACAGACTGATTTATCCGATATGGACCTTCCCAATTAGGAGA